CATAACTGGAAAGCGCAGACGGCTGCAGACTGTTTTTTACCGATTACCGCGATCGAAAATTTATGAAAACTGCAAACCGCTTAGTCTTATAAAACCGCAATACAGCATAAAGATTTCCGCAAAACCGCACCAAAAATAACGCAAAACCACATCACCGCAAACCCTTACGCCCCCCTCAGTTAATGCATGTAAATAATAAGTAACCTTTCCAGCACTGAGAACATTGAAGAAGACAGAATATTTATAGCAACAGTGACGTGCAAAGCGAAAACAAACGGATTGTCGACAAGGAGTATCGACAATGAAAAATTGATCAGGAATAATCAAAACGTTATCTTAAAACTCGTCACAATGATCGAATTTGTTTCGATTAACAATGGATTGCAGCCAACGATGTTTTTACATAAAGCGACGCCAGCTTTCAGCACAATTAAACAACCGAAATCAACTGCTCGAAAGAAGTTGAATTGTGATAATGACTACTTAAGAAACCAGTAAAAAAGTTGTTGGCTTTTTCGCTGCTCTTTTTTTAGAGTTCACCTTAAAAATTACTAAATGCACGAAAAAAAAAAACTTGCTCCTAAAGAGTAGTCTTGGAAATGACTTCCGAAATTCAAAAGAAGTTCTTGCGGTTTAAAAATCCTACCGCAAAGAAGTTCTTGTGTCTGGCAGGGTCTAAGCGCAAGCGACCCGCAAGAATTGAAGCCGCAAGAAGTTGCCGGCTTGCGGACGCAAAAAGAAGTTCTTGCGCGTGCATTATTTTTGGGCTGTACTGTAGTCTCTCTATTTCTCCTCGACTCAAAGAGGAATTTACAGTTTGAACACATCTTTTGAACTCACCGTTACTTTACAAGAAACCGGGACAAAAATTTTTATTTCTAGGAAGATTAGCCTGCAATGTAGCCCGACGTGATACAAAATCCTCGAATTAGTCCGGTTGCGATCTATAACGTCGGCGCAGACTGTCTGGGACGCAGGGTGAAGGAGATAAGTTACCCTTTTAGAACTCCTTCTTGAATTAAAACGTATTTTACGTGTGCTCAACGCCAATGAATGGTGCAAATACGTCAACTAATTTAAATGACCTCTATCATTTTACGCTACATTAGTAGAACTAGCGTACCTGAAAATTGAGGTGAGTCTTGCTAAAGTCCAAACGTTAATGGCTATATTTAACAAGACGTGACTAATTTACGCGTGTTCCTCAGTTAGCATGCTCTTAGTACTTCCTTAACACCTGCGAACCTATTGTCTTTTAATTTGGAAAATTGACTTTTGCGGGAGAGGGTAGCTGAAGTGATGTAGGCAAACAAAACCGAACTGCGATGTAACCGGATGATCAACAATGTTTTGGGTCTCTTTAACAAATAAAGAAGCCTCGACTCTTGAGTGCTCTACCGCTTCCTAAGTGCTTTACAACAGAACAGAGCGCAGTCGAGGCTTCTTTATTTGTTTTATGATAAAGAATCCGATAATTTCCCCACGCATTCGGCTGAATTTTCAAACCAAANCTTTATTTTCCAAACGGGTAAAAGTGGCGTCAGCTGTGCTCTGTTCGCTGATAAAGCACGCTAAAATAAGCCAATCACCATCCTTGTTAGAATTGTTCAAATAATTTGATCGGCTAACGAAGCGACAGCTGTCAATTACAAACTGGACTTCAGCTTAGGGGTTGACACATTATGCCGGCATAATTTCGAGCATAATACTATATGTGGAGCATCGAGCATAATGC